TCTCTCTCTCTCTCTCTCTCTCTCTCTCTCTCTCTCTCTCTCTCTCTCTCACACACACACACACACACACACACATACACACACACACACACACAAACAAAAAGAAGTGTGGAAGTATATATTTCCATGTTCTAGCGGTAGATTCATTCGATTTCGCTTTTGTTTTTTTGTTTTTTTTAATCACAATTTCTTTTTTTTTTAATACTACAGGGCCGCTCGAGACCCCCCCTACCACCCCTGGGGTAACCCCCCCCCCTTCAACCCCCCCACCAGGGCCAGGAACATTCGGACGGGACCCATCTGTACCATCGTACGAACGGGCCGTACGGAGACCCCCCGTACGACGTACGTGGGACTACACTGACGACAACAACGACAAAGAAGACAGGAAGGCAATCCCACGGAGGATGGGATGCGCAGCGATCTGGCGAAGACTATACGGGGGAGGCAAGACGGCAAGATCCGACGATGATGATGACAAAGACGAGAGGAAGGCGATCCAGTGGAGGATGGGATGCACGGCGATCCAGCGAAGGCTATACGGCGGAGGCTAGACGGCAAGATCCGACGACGATGAGGAAGAAGATAGGAAGGTAATCCCACAGAGGATGGGATACCCGGCAATCCGGCGAAGGTGAGACGGCAAGATCCGACGACAGCAATGACGAAGAAGACACAAAGGTGATCCCACGGAGGATGGGATGTGCAGCGATCCGTCAAAGGCTATGCGGCGGAGGCGAGACGGCAAGATCCGACGACGAAGAAGAAGAAGAAGACACAAAGGTGATCCTGCGGAGGATGGGATTCGTGGCGATCCGCCGAAGGCTATACGGCGGAGGCAGGACCTCAAGATTCCATGACGACGATGACGAAGAAGACACAAAGGGACACCAACCCCGACGCAGAACAAGGACGGCAGACAGTGACACGTCCGCCTTTTCATTGCGCCTCCCAGGCCCCTTGGTTTTTCATATCTTTTTCATGCACAGCTTACCCTTCGCACCCCAACATCGCCGCCGAATTCCATCCCTCTCTTAAGCCCCAACCCTAGAAGCCACCAAGCACCACCCCTCCTCCCGCCCCAAAAAAAAACAAAACAACGTTGTTCCATGCACTTTTCAATTTGTAGTTTCCTTTATTCTACCGGTCTCGTTGTCATTGCGCTTCTTCGTATATTTTACGTACACCTTACTTTTTCTGGACGTGGTCCGCATTAAAGACAACCTTCTTTGTACACGTATGTTTGTAAGCACAGCAAACGACGTAAGTGTTCCCATCACACACTGGGGATTCACCGTCAACCTCTCCGTTTCCAATTACACAATACGACATGAGTGGGCACCATAATTACAGACCATTCACATTTTTCCAAAATTTGTGGATCGCACACACACACACACACAGACAACATTGTAGAGGACACTCTACAGAGACAGAGAGAGAAAGGGAGAGAGAGAGAGAGAGAGAGAGAGAGAGAGAGAGACAGTGAGAGACAGAGAGATTGACAGACAGAATGAACTGAATAGCGACTGGCATCGTCGCCCGCTCAAATTCAATTAACGAAAGTAGGAACAATTCCAGTGGTAACTCAGAAATGGACCATGAAACTAGGTTGTGCACAGCACTACCTAAAACAACTTGACAAAAAGACGGACAATAACTATATCGAAAAACTAGTTTGTAAAGAGCAAGCAACGACAGTGGACTCTCACTTTCATGCCCCCAATCCTACAATTCTGCACATCAAGCACGAGGACTTCAGCACGGTAGATGTGCACAAATAACGACAAGGTAACATTGGAGGTCATCGCTTGGACGGTGGACATCATCAGCAAGGAGGTCGGCACAGTCGTCATCGGAGAATGATGGACAAGATCTACGTCTCTCCTCGTGTGCATGCACCGTACACACGGCTATCTCTCACGGATAGCCTTCGCTATTTCCATGAGGGCGTCGCACGTGAGCTTGCTCACATCACTTGACATCGCGTAGCGTTTCTTCTGGGCATCCACTTCGGACTCCATGATCTCACAGTGCCGAACCATCATCGAGCACTGCCTCTTGCTGGCGCTCTCCAACGTTGTCGCCATCAGCTTCCCATGCTTCTCCATCACGTCTGTCAGTGCCTTGAATGTCTGCTGCGTCATTTCCTCCTTTTCGCGAACCCGACAGTGCTACCCGTGCCGAAGGAAGATCCTTTCATCAACCCGTCCTCTTCTTCCTGTGCCTGCCACGTCCGTCGCCATGGCCTCCTCCCCCCGATCCGGAGGGCATTTCAACACCGCCCGGCGCACCCATGTCTGCAACGTTCCTCGGATGGATGGTGTGATTCTTCGTTGTCGACGCCTTGATCTCCTCGAACACCGCCCGCTCCATGACGAAGTTGAACCGGCGTGATCTCCTTTCCTTGCCCTTTCAGCCCGAAGTAGTCCGGTTTCCGAGACTCCTGCATGAACCTGAGCACCTTCTTGAACTGCCGCATCAAGTTGTCCCACTTTTTCCCGCAGTTGTCGGCACTCCTAGGGACGCCCACTTCTTCAATCTCTCATGAACATCCTCCCACTTTCATTCCCTTGGCTTCATGTTGGCAAACGCGTGCCCCATACCCTCCAGGTGCGCATCCTGATCCCATTTCGCCCTCACGAGAGGGACCATGTGGTCCACCGACCAGAAGTTCCTCCCACCCTCCCGATCGACGTCGCCTTCACCGTTGCTCCCCGCATCTGCTGATTTCTTGGTTCGTCGTCCTGCGAGGCAGAATCCTTCTTGCTTGTTCCCCGACCACCCATGGACTTCTTGCCCAATGGCTGAATGTCCACAGTGTCGTCTTCGTCGTCGACGTCTTCGTAGTCGACTACTTTCACCGCCGCCTCTTTCTCTGCGTCGCTTCCGCCCATGTGCAGCCGCCGAACCCCCCTCATTGTCAGGTCTTCACAACCTCCACGAAGCTGCTGCCGATGTTCTGCCCAAACGTGTCGACCCCTCCGTTCATCGACATCGACTGCGAAACTGTCGTCCCTACCACCCCCATCCGACCGCCTTCCCATCACCTAACATCCCACAATGGCAATGGCAAGTGCCCCTGCTGCGGAAGAACGATTGTGGGACGTGTTGCCGGCGTCGACTTTGACTGCAGACGGTGTGGATCCCTCATCTTGTCTGTTGCGGCAATCCAACAGAAGAACCCCCCCCGACCGGCCGACAAGCGTCACTTGACCCCAATTGCCGTCAAGGTGGGGATTGATGATGCAGGTACGTATCGTCGCCGCTGAGCTCCCGCCACACAGTGCAAACGACTGATTGACGCCCAACATGTGCATCTTCCTTGCGTATACCTTCTCCAAGCAGTTGTGTATATGATTGTCAAGACACCGACTTTCTAACAACTGGCTCCCTGCCCAATCCTGCGTCGAGCCGCTCCCAAGTGTGACGGTCCGACAACCTACCTCCTCCGCCTCGTTGTCCATCGGCCGCAGCGGAATTTCGTGTAAGTGTAAGTGCGCGTGCCCAGACCGGTCCTACTGCGGTGATCTTCGACCAGGGGTGTGCGCACGCGCAGACCGGTCCTACTGCGGTGATCTTCGACCAGGGGTGTGCTGCGCGCGGTGAGCGCTAGGGGACTCCAACAACGCGCTGCTCTTCAGCTGCCGTTCATCCATCTCAGCGCCCTTCTTCTCTGACCACCTCCTGTGTGTACGCTCAGGCACCTTGCTGATGATGCACACGTGGAACAGGAGGACGATAACAAGCAAAATCACGACTAGGATAGCACTGGAAGCCTGCGGTAGAGGTCAGCCATCAACCACACGTACGACAGGGACGACGGTGGAGGTCCACCAAACGGCGACGGTGAAGGGAGCAAACGGAAGAGGACAGCATATGACAGACACACCATAACATTATCCATCGCCCACATGGGTGGGGATGCGGGAGTCTGGTCGGGCAAAATGTTCAGTTTTGACCGAGCCGACGCTGGCCAGAAACCCCAGCGAAGCACGGGGACATCAGCCCCAATTGAAGAGCAACCCCAACGATGGCCGTTCTCCAACGGCAGCCGTTGGAGACCCATTGCACCACGGCCCAACGTCGGTGATCGAAGATGTTCATGCACCCACTGGCGGATCACCAATGGACCAGCTGAAAATAAAAAAGCTACTGACGACATGTGCCTTCGCCGCCCCGATTATTGCAGATCCTCGACCTCTAGGGACCTCGTGCGGCCCCTTGCACTAGGGCAAGAAATGGCTGGGCCACAAGGATGCTACAAGGATTCCTGGAGGAAATGTTTTCACATTTTTTTCCAAATTTCCTCCCCCAGGATAGGTGGAACGTGCCCCAGGAGTGTCTAACGAGCCCCAATGTCAGGAGCTATGACCCCGCTATCTACTTTCTTGGCCACGTCAGATGATCAACCCCCATGCAAGGACCTGCATGCGCATGCCCTAGATGGCGATCAGCCAGGCTCATCCCACCAGCAATCATCCCCCTCCCCTCCTCCCTGAAGCGCAAGTCATGCACTTTGTGTACATATACATTTACATTTAACGTCATAGAGAACTCTCCTAATTGG